GTTTTTTTTTTTTTTTTTTTTTTAATTTATCTGGCTTTAAGTGTCAGTAAGTTGTGACAGACTAAACTTTCCATGGGCTAGCTGAAATTAAGCCTTTTCAGTTCCCTCCCTCCCTTGAAATTAGCACATGGATGGTAAGGAATTTAAGGCATTAAATCAACATAAAATGCTCCTAATATTCTTATGTTAAATACTCATATGCCAGGCATTGAGCTCATCAGTTCCAACTCTATTTTAAGCTACTTAATGGCCTAAAAAATAGAGATTTATGATTGGCAAGATCTATAAAGAAGCCTTCATCCAGGAGCAATATTGCTTTAAAAAAAAAAAAAAATCTGTTTTACTTACTCTATAATGGCCCAATTCCAGATGTCTCGGGAAACTGTACGTTTCACAACGTACCTAGTATGCGGCATCAACATGGTAAGAAATGTGTCCCTGGTGCACATCCATAGTTTTTACCCAGACAGTGCAAGAAGGTATGTTGTCACATAGTTCCCTCCTCGCAACAGGTTTTTAAAATTCTGTTCAGAAAAGTCAACGACAAGTTCAGCCTCTGAAGAAACTCCGTTTTTAGTTCAGCATTTGTGCTGGGGTTATATCATATTAACGTATATTTTACTGGGCAGCTTGAAAAATCTCTCTGAATTCCTGAGATATAATATAGAAACATTTCCGTAGTGCATCCTACTTACACTGTCCCTCTCTCCTGGCTGTTTTGCAGTTTCTACAGAATAGGGTATAGGTGACCTTGCTAGCTTCTTGTAAAGCAAATATTTCATTCACGTTTCCAGAGAATCATCGTTTGAAAACCGTTATAAATAGTATTAAGGGAATAATACAGAATTCCAGAATTCAAAAGCAAGCCGGGAGGTGAATCACTCCCCCTAACAATGGCAACCCTAACGCTGTCCTGGGACAGATCGATTTAACGCAACATGATTTTGCTTTGCACGGCACGGTGCACACCACTGCCAGCATCCCAGCAATTTCGCCATTCCAGCATACTAAGGTCTGAATCAAGATGTCATTCCTCTTCTTCAGGAAGACGTTCACATCCCCCGTGACCCCCAGACACGTCAGTTGTTCAACAATCTGAAGTCGCTTTCTACTGAAAGTGGGTGTTTTTAGAAGCACCGCGAGCCCCAGCCACCGCAGGAATCCAGTGATTCAGTTGGAGGGAGTCACCACCTAAGCCAGGAGCTTAGCCAGGAGGGTCAAGCAAGACACACGAGGAAGATTTTGCAGAATTCGGACTAGACAGAGAAGACAAGACAAGACAAGACATTACAGAGTCCTTTCAGAAAGGTGGTAAGAAGCCTTTCAAAGAGGATGAAGTTTATGATGCTGCTCAGCCTCTCGCTGATGAATGAGACACGGAGGAGGAGATAATTATGAAAAGGTCTCATTTGTGTACAGAAGTTATTATTTTCACATTTCCCTTGCTGACAGAATTAGGACAGGTGTGGACTTTTGTTTCCTAAACACTGACCAGAAACAACATGAAAACAATTACTCTAATAAGAGCTACAGGATAAGCTCATTTATTTCCCATTTCAGAGTGAGAAATCTACCGAGTCTGAACATAAACACGTTACTGAGGTTGCAGTGTAGGCGATTTATCTTTTCTACAAAGGAATCTTTTCCACAAAGGAATCTTTTCCATGTGGATTATGGACTGGTCCATGAATTATCTAAATTCACCTTGTTTCTTTGAGCAACAGCAGTGTACTCAAGCTAAGAATCTGAGTCATATAAAAGGTTTAATTTAAAAAACAGTCTTCCATAATCCTGAATAAAGGTATGTAGCAGACTTCATTTCGATATGGGTTTATATGAAAATACAGCGATAGTAGTCCAAAAGTTCACAGATCCAGAAGAACAGCTTCAATATATTCACCATATACTTCTCTTTTTGCATTATACTCGTAGGGAAATGACCAAAGTGTCGGTCCAATTATTACGATAGCATATCAGTTCTATTAACAAACACGTAAATCTGTGAGCAGTGCACTATCAAACAGTGCATTTTTTGAAATGAGGGGTTTTTTTTTCATAAAGTCACTCCAGCTCCTCACAGACGACCATTCAGCCCTGTGCTAAGAACCAGTGTTAGAAATATCGGTGCTGAACAGTAAAATTAACTCCTGGGAACGGGAACAGAGGCGGAAAGCCTGTTGGCAAGGGGAACAACTACTAAAATGCATTCCAGCAAAAACAAACCACAAACACCCAGCTGTGACCAGCAAGACGAAACGCAGAAAAATCCTCCAATCTGGGATCCTATTCTATGATAGCAGGCCAACTCACGATGCCTATGGAAAGTTAAGGTTGTTTCCTGAATTATCTTGGTGCAAGTTTGATGATTATGGGTTGTGGATTATGCATTATTGACGATAAGTTGACTTTCATGGTAATGAGTGCTGTGTGTTGACAGATATATAAAATTGAACCATAAAATTAAGACGTTCTAACTTCTTACCTTCGGTCAATGTTTTTTCTAGACTCAGTGAGAGAATGGACTCCCTGTCAATCAGGCACTAGATTCAAAGCCTTCTCTAGTCGCTGAACAAGTCCTGGATTACAGCTTTGCTCCGTATCGAAATGCCTTTCCTAGCACCTCAGGGAGACAAACTGTCCCTCAGCCTGCTGCAGAATTAAACAGCACGTGTACCCAGTTCCAGATGTCTGGTGAGAAGCCCAGTTTTGTTGGAGAAATACTTGCAGGAGCTCACAATAATTTCTGTTGCATTTCTTGATCAGAATTAGCCAGTCAGTTTGGAAGAAAGGTTGGTTTTTTTTTTTTAGCCTGGGGTTAATTGTGATCTACCAAAAGATAAGGTACTCAAGACGATAACATGAATGACAATACCCTGCTACAACTACGCATAGTGCTGATCCTGAGACAAAAGACACTATTCCTGGGCTGTACCTATACCTGGGGACTCCACCCAAGTCAGCAAGCTGTGTTGTAAATAAAGGTGCTATCTAGCCCCCCGTGGAGGTTGCTTGGCTGCAAACATGAGGAGCTCCACTGGTGTGAACGATGACTGTTTTCTTAAATACCTTAGGTTTTTGTAACAGAGCTCTACCACCCACTCCGGGAGAACTGTTTGCGTCTCAAGCACAGGTTACTCGAGTCAAGCCAAAGAAGCCAAGGGAAGCTCAGCAGAAATCCAAGACTCTTGGGAAATGAGTGGGAAAGAGGTCAACGAGAAGGATCCTCACGTAGAAGCACCGCCCTTGCCTGAAGCATCGTTCTTCGCACAATTAGACAACTATGCAACTTATTGGCCAGGTGCTGAATTTGTACGTGACAATGAGAAGATTAATCACAGTAATTGCTTGTGATTGCACACATCCTAGTTGAAATGGGTGTGGCCGGCTTACTTGTCTGATGCCTTTAATTGACTTCAGTCACCTTGCACTCAGACGAAAATGATCAGGGGGATGGAACACCTCTCCTGTGAAGAAAGGCTGAGAGAGTTGGGGTTGTTGAGAAGAGGAGAGAGGAAGGAGGAGAGAAGGCTTCAGGGAGACCTTATAGCAGCCTTTCAATACTTAAAGGGGGCTTATAAGAAAGATGGGGGCAGACTTTTTAGCAGGGCCTGTTGCGACAGGACAAGGGGTTATGGTTTTAAACTAAAACAGGGTCGATTCAGACCAGACCTAAGGAAGAATTTTTTACAATGGGGGTGGTGAAGGACTGGAACAAGTTGTGCCATCCCTGGAAACATTCAAGGCCAGGTTGGACGGGGCTCTGAGCAACCTGATCTAGTTGAAGACGTCCCTGCTCATTGCAGGGGGGGGGTTGGACTAGATGACCTCTAAAGGTCCCTTCCAACCCAAATCTATGATTCTATAACATGGAAATATTGATATGATAAACAGCAAAACCGACCTCTTGGCTTCCAGCAGCAGTGGCACCACAGGGACTGCTCCTATAAGGAACATGTTGCCTTGGCAGAGCTGACCAGCCCCAGCCCTCTGTGCCACGTGCACATTTAGAGTTGTGCCAGGACATTGACTTCTTCCTGGCAGGGCCACGCTCCCCGAATTTCTGAAATGACTGGAATTTCCCCACGGCCGATATAGTATTGTCTATTCTGCAGTAACCCTCACTGGTTTGATACATTTGTCGTAAAAGAAGGTTACTAGTCATCATGAAAGCTTTGAAATAGATGACTTTGAGGCCATCTGCTTACCTCCTCCCTTCTCCATGTCTGCACCTGAAGCAAACAAACAAACAAAAAAATCTTCCATTTGTTGGTTCCTGGAAACATACATCTCTCTGTGCATGTGGGGACAGCCTGATTGCCTGCGCAAAGACAGCCTGATTTACAGCCCTGTGCAAACCTTGAGTAACTTTGAAGGCAGGGTAAAGGACCAGCAGACGCAGGGAATTGCCACGAGCAACCAAATCTCAAAGTCCCTTATCCTGGTTTCTCTCGCCATTCAAAGTCTGCTAGATTCTGCACTTAAACACGTATTAACATCTAAGTGCCTAAAAGCACCTCACTGTGCACAACACTAACCTCCATCAGAGATGTAAAATATCCCTGTTCTGCTCCAAACCCAAGCTCCTTTGCAGTCTGGGTTAAGATGCCTCATTTTGGACCTGCAGACCCTTATACCTCCCAGCCACGAATACATGCACAAATACTCAGAGCCCCAGATACAAGTCGACCAAATATATCAAGCATACATACACACCTTATCACTCCTACCAGAGCTCTAGATAGAAGCTGTCCTAAACGGTGTGCCCCAAATACCCACCTCATGGTGGAAACTAATCATCTCCCAGTTTGACAGATGAGGAAAGCGAAGCTCCAAGGCAGGTGGCCGAACTGATACCACCCAGGATAATCTACACTAGAACTGGTGTAGGAAAAAAAAAAAAAACCCACAGGAAGATCTCTGGTCCCTTTTGCTGGAACTGCCA